CTCTCCGGTTTTGATAGTGTGGCGGTTGACCTATGGGATATTATAATGAAGTGCTGTTTGAACGGTCTAACCGTCATTACAGAAATCATCTTCATGTATGGCAAAATAATCCCCTTTGTTTCTGGACTCGATGCTTGTGCGCTTTTGGCTGGAACATTTTCGGATGAAACTGCGTGGGTATTCATTGCGTCTAAACAACTTGAATATGTGTTTAGCTACTTCCTTTTCTGTTTCTTTGGTACTACAATGGTTCAATTTTATAGAACGTCCGCATGCAACTCACTTTGCGGTATTTTGGATGGTTGCTTTTGGGTTTCAAGATTTAATTCGTGTGTGACTTTCTACTAGAAGGGTATTTGTAATTCCCCGTCAACTGTCCTGGTCTCCAATACTTCCCAGAAAGGAGGCTTTTTTCTGTCTCCGACGCTATCGTAAAACGGACTCTTGTGAAAAATTAGTTAGTCATGCCACGCGACTAATCGTCTGCCCGATGAACTGGATATACTTACAAGTACCCTAACTGCAAGTAGTTACTCTTGGAGATTTATCGAGAAGCACTGCCAAATCAGCGAAATGGGAGATTCGGATGTATGCTTAGAGCTAACCCTTAAGAGTGACATAAGATAGCTGATAAATAGCAGGAGTCTGTGCTCTGTCAAGAAGAGCACTTTTCGGGATACCGAAGTTATCATCGACCGAATCCACAAACTGCCGTTTCCTACCCTGAAAGAAGCGCAACCTAACGGGGCCGAATCCCATATGTAGATCGAATCGTAGGTAACTGCGGAGCTAGTAACGTAGGCAAAAGTGATGGGACACGGAGTTTCCGAATGAAGGAACAAGTGCAGGGTGACGTAGCAAATACACCCAAATCAAGCTACGCATTCACGCAAGCTGCCGACACCTCCAATCGACAGACATTTGGAGGTTATCGGTTTGGGATCAACACAGTGTTCAGAATTCTGCTGCACCATACCAATCCCAAACTCCTCCGGTTTGAAGAGGCTGTCGCGATAAGCTGAATTAGACTGGTGCTTTGCGTTTAAAAGTAACTGGTGGTTAGTCTCCAGTTGCCCTGAGCGTAGGAGTAAGAAACCAGTTTTCCTCTAATTTGGCTGGTATGTAAGTTTGCGTTCAACAATTGAACACGGTTTCGCTATCATTATCCGCATATGAAATACAAGCATTTGCCTAAATCCGATTTTTTCACTGTGCCTTTCAAATTTATATAACTACTCTGAAGATAGGTTGAAGGAGAAAAGGCGTAGTCTGAAGGTCGGATATGCAACTCTGGAAGCAATTTGCGCGCGTCATGAAGCTTCTGACCCAATTTCATCGTGGATGAAGCAATGGTTCGATATGGTAGAATTCTCGTTTTCTCTGTGTAAAATCAAAGGAACCTTTAGAGGTGAGACGAATTTTCTGGAAACGGAGAGTGATGGTGATGAGTTTCGAACTCAAAAGGAGTAGCCTAGTTTATATCAGTTTTCAGGCCAGACACCGTTCGATGTCGACCCAAAACTCAGTCTACTAACCAATTGACAGACTTTCATGCGTATTGTACGTTTTATGATCTGACGTCTCCCAGTTGCATAGCGTTAGGTTATTTGGGTACTTTTAATTGTTTTGTTGCGTTACAATTAACTAAATCCAGCACTTCCATAGCGGTTAGACCGTATCAGTGGAATTGTTGCTGTTCGCCCCAACCAGTCGAATCACCTATCTGTGAGTGCGTTACACTCGGCTGTAGTAACTTTAAGTCATTTCGTCTACTGTCCAGGCCGTGCGTCAGCTTGGTTAGTCGGTCAACTGTAGGACAAATTACAGAAGAGGAGCAGTGGTTGGTGATCATCGTGGTAGTGCTTGGAAGAAAGGGTGACTCCAACATGAGATCACTAATGACCTAGATCTAACCTTATGTACTTTGGGAATATGCACTTCCGCAATTTCGTATCGGCGAATCAACAGCAAGCATGGAGCGCACAAGAATCAAATGAGCAGAAAAGAAGCGCATGGGACATCGATACTCGAGTACATTCACTCGCGAGTGACACATGTTGATCAGCTGAAAAAAATACTATGGTCCACATTCATGGGCCTCCATCGCGTTTGCGCTGCACACAGGTAACGTGAGTGAATTTGTATCTAGAAAGGGGAATGTGACTAATGTACCCTAAGAGGACAAATGCAGATCGGGAGGCGTCTGCTGTAAAAAGTGAATCTAGGCGCCTGCAGCGTCCATGAAATAGACCAGACTGACGCACACCAATTGTTGGTAATGATGTGATCAAACTGTATCCGAGGCGGTTTTTAGATGATCGTGCAGTGGCGAAGATCGGTGATTACAGCTTCCGTGCAGTAAACGTCAAGCACAAGGCAGTCTTTCATTCAAGCGAGTGGACTCAGTGTGATCAATGGGAGCAATATCTGGTGATCATCAATAGAATTATTCATGGACACACCGAAGCAGTCGACGGTTGTATGAAAAAAAGGCTGTGTCCGAGGTAGCCATTCAGGAATGCAGATTAAGTTTTATGCTAGAGACACGCATGCGAACTGGAATTTATTCTAAATGACTGTCCCGATGCATGTGCAGTGTCGCGGAGGCCTCACGGATGCCTGCGATGATATCCTCTACGGTCAGCAGTGTGTGTGTGTGTACTGGAGACACATAGTCAGCTCAAGTGCCTCTATGAAATGTGATGCGAACGGCCTGCCCAAGTGGCTAGGTAGAAAAGGGGAATAACAGAAGCAAATACGAATAAAACGGTTTAATTCTACGGCCAACATGATGTCAGCGAGTAGTCTTCTAAAGTATAGTGGATGGGTGTGTGATGCCCCATGGGCAAGAGGAGAAAAGCACGGATGCTAGGCGCCTAGCAGTCAGCATAATATTATTACGCAGTGAAGATGTTTTTTGCATTGATGACAAAACGTTTGCGATCAAAATGTTAAACCGGGCGAACAGTGTGACATAAGCGAACGACTCAAGCTACCAATACTTCGACTTATTGCGAGCAATGACTGACTCGGTTGTCCCAACGAAAGCATTCATTCTGGTGATTACATACCGGGGACTGTCCCAACAAATCTAAGCACCAACCCCGTGTTGATGGATGCATTTGCGAGGACTGGTGTCCCCAAAATAACTTGAAGAAGACAAGTGAGGTTCGACTGTCGCCAACCACTGTTCCTAAAGCATGGATTTCTAACCAATCCAAAGTCCTTTTGGTAACAACAATCTCTACGGCTGTCTCTGATTAGGATACTTACTTTACCGTTAGAGCCGATATCACTCAATTTTAAATGAACGGCAAAATTAACATGTTCCAACGCTGTGGTAAACATTGTGGCCTGATCAAACGGATGGCAGGTGGTCAGTAGTCGTCTATCTATTGATAGGTCAGGTGGCATTCATGAACATGTGGCAGGAGCAACCGAGGGATGAGTGATTGCACACTGCAACAATTTAGGTACCTATCTCGTCATTCCGGAGCTCAAAACCCTACTGGCTCGGCTAATGTAGCGTGCACTGAAGCCGCAAGTGAACTGATAAATACAATGTGGATTATGGCTGATATGTTGTCTTTCCATCGTAGGGGGAGCAGTAATTGATTAATCCGGCTAATAGAGACGTTTTGAATAGCTTAATGGGTTTTTTGGACAGCGGGAATTGTGCGCATTCTATTGACAAAAGCACTATTACATGGGGACTCGAAGTAGACCTTTCGGCGACTGTGAAGGCAATCTTTCCCCGTACTCTCGCGTGGCTACGTTTTTCGATCAGTCTTCTTGGATGGTCATTTTCAACAGCGTATCGTTGAGTGCGTTCATCTCTTCAGCCGAGCTGTCAGCGGTGCATATTTTTCTTGTACGCTTAAGTCAAGTTTTGACCAAGGACCGTTTGCGCCGCATCGAGAAGTTGGTAAAGTGCAGCTGCTGCTAGCACCTACTGGCCACTTGTCATCCGTTCGATCCGGTCACAATGTTTACCATGGTGTCGGAACATGCTAGCGTCCGGTTCCTGCGTTCTACCGAGGCGATCGCGACCAGCCGGATTAGGCCATACTCTGTGCATAGAAACAACTAAGACTGCCCTTGTTGTATGGGTATTACATCTGTCCCGCGCCCCTATCTCTACTTGGTTTCAGTCTCACTCTACTTTTTCCGTTATTGTATTGGCACTGATGAGACAATACGAAATTCTAATGCTTATCAGTTCTCGTGTTCCTACGGCTCCATTCAAATTGCTTAATGGTATCCAACTGTATTAAAGCCTCAATAAAATACATCCACGCGTCTGCATGTGTCCCGTTCCTGCCCGATGCTTGGACTGGTGCTTATGCGTACCATATCGCGATATGACCAATGTGTCCTGTGAGTTCCACGCATCCGCTCACCGTGCCTCCAACTCCACTCGACCGATCCGTGGTACATTCGAGTGTACCGTTTCGTGAGTCGACCCGCGCATCTTCCACTATAACAATCTCACGGCAAACAAAGCGTCATCCCAGGCTGCATTCATTAAAAAGATACGACATTCGTAACGGCAATGAAGTGTTATCTGTTGTCTGGACATGGCGTACTGATCAATCCGATCCGGTGGTCAATAGTGAAGTAGTCATTTGGAAAGCAACGTCCAGTGCATCGTGTACATGTACACATTGGAACCCGAACCGTATTGGGGAAACACACCAGTGCTTTGTGCTACTAATGCGTCGAGTTTGTGCAAACGTAAGCTGTTGCACACGGGATGTAGGTTCTTCCAAACCTATGCATGAGCGGAATCTCGAACCGCGGGGGAGCACTGATGACAACGCGAATCCGTCACTGGACATTAGGCAAGTTCAATCAAGGATTCGCATAAGAACAGACAGGAGGCAAGCTAAGCGGATGACATGCTGTCCAAGAATTGAATTGTAGTCACTCTCAAGGAATGAAGCTATATGAGTATGACTGACACACGTGAAATAGAAACAGAGAAATTAAACACAGCTTACGGTTAATAGTCATCTGATGCAACAAATCGACTACTGTATTCTGTTGCCTTGTAAAATGGCCTAACTCAGCCTGAAGGAAACTTGTGACAACCATGCGACCAGTTGGAAACACGCTCAGTATAGCCTTGTAACATTCCAAATCGGTCTGGACCTCATACTCGGCCATCTTGTCGAGCGCATTTCGGACGAATTGATTAAAACCACGCCGTGTTTTTTCGTAACGGTGTAGGTAGAAGCGAATGGCCTGCTGCAAATGGACGAAGGAAGGGTGCACAAAGTACAAGGCATGTATTTTTCGCCCAAATAAGCAACAAGAACACGAGAGAACTTCAGGATGGTGGGCGAAAGGTACAAGGATAGATAATGGTAACAACAGACAGTATAGCAGCAGTAGGTAAACGGATAAGTCTACTTTCTAATAATGCAGTACCCTAGATTTGCCCATGATAACTTCAACTCTCTCAAAGGTGATACCGATGTATGACAGCTAGTTTGCTTGGTTTTAGTGGAACTATTAGTGCAGTCGATTCGCACTCGACGATGCTTTACCTCAATGAAGTTCACACTGCGTGATACTGAGATTTAAGCGTAAGAATTGTGGACAAACAGCCTATAGTGATGCGCGAGGCCCGTGATTGATGTTATAACAGGAGAGGGAGAGAACGGAACAAAATGGAGGAAAAATGCGCACCCGAATCGGCTTATGCGGCGAACACTAACGCATCCCACAAGGCCCTCCAATCGTCCGTGAATTCAGCAACAGCAGTGCATCCGCACTTTGTATGAATACAAGCATAAACAAACAGAAAGGATCTTGCAACAAATCTGATTACAAGTGGCTCATGTTGGCGTTTTAAGATCCCCATTGGCTCTGCGGGCGGAACAAATTGATTGCAGACGTTTCGTCACCAATCGAATTGACATCTTCAATGCATAATAGCAAGTAGATTGTCAACAGATCTTGAGCTTCAGATAAATCCATAGACGGATATCGTATCTCTTGTATAAAATACAAGCGTTCGTAAACACGCATCATCCTGGTTAGCTACAACTCTGGATATGCGGGAATACAGGAGCAAGCTCTGCTGGTTTGCTGCGATGTAGAATGGCATCTCGCAATTTCGTCGGTGCGATGGCCACGTGGAGTATATAACTTGGTATTAATGACTATTGTGTTCGCTGTTCAGCCTTTAGTGGTTCAATCCGCGGTTTCTAAACCCTCATACGTCCTTTTTAGACGTTGGTATATATGATCAACGTCAGTGCGCAGGCTTACTGCATTCGCTGTTGACAACAAGCCTTCAGGAATCCACCTTCTTGTAAGATGTCTCCAGGCGATAAAATCTTTCTATTCCAATCAAAGGTATTTCCTACTTCATCGACGCGTGTCGAAATCAAAGATGACGCGTAATGGGTTCTGAAGGCAGTTTATGCACACACAATATCACAACCAACAACATGATTTGAAGACAAGTGTGGTGACTCTAAACAAGGAAAGGCGCATTTTAGAATTCAATCATTCTAACTTCATTATTCCGCGACTCCCGAAGTACTATAATTGTCCACAGAAACACACTAAACCAAGCTAGTCAATGTGCTGGTGGAAGATGAAATTTCAGTAATATCAGAAAAGTGGAATATTTGTGGGAACATCACCAGTCAGACATAAAAAATGGTGAAAGTAAACGAGTAAACATCCAGTCAACGAACGACTATCAAATTTCGGCAGGTGTACTCCGCAGATAAAAGTGCTGATACTCGTCGCACCAATTTCGAGCTCGGGGAATTAATATGACTCAACCGCACAATAGTGACATAACCACAGCAAAAAATCGTAAAACTGCTAAAGCTTGTACCGTTTTCTAAACGTCATTTACGCAATTACTAATAATCTACGACAGATTTATTGAAAATTAATTGTTGAAACTGGATTAAGCCTAAAAGGGGCTGCTATGTGTAATCGAGAATACACGATTTTATCAATGCTGTTACAAATCATCATTATCATCATACACGTTAGCTAGAGGTGGAAAACATCTCAGCCATGGTGCCGCAATACATTAGAAAAAATGCAACAAAGGCACACCAGTTGAGTCAACGATAACGTATGGACATCATTCCGGAGAGCTAACAGTCGCCTATAGTGATGCAAAAAGAAGTATTATATTATGCATATGAATTGATATCGTGGTTGTAGGGAAGGCTAAGCGACGAGGGGGAGGGACTAAGAAACTCGCAACACAAACGACACTGATGTCGGCTCCTAGCCATAATAACAAGTATAACCAGTCAAATGGGTTTATCGTTTTCGGACACCGACCAGGGAGCCGAGAGCATCCAAACGAGGCCAACTTCGTACAAAGAACCTGCATTTCTCTGGAACAATTCATCGCTTGGCCACCTCTCCTCTTCTTCCATCCACACCGACGCGCAAATAACGCACGTCGCGGGAGTCGGTGGGTTGGCATGCGTAACACGTGACCCAGCCATTAGAGCCTGGTGTGTGAAAAAACGATGCAGAGCGGTCCACTTCTTCTTCCTATGTCTTAAAAGAAGTGTCGAACATGCCCATTGCTCACTGTGTTCCCACCAGATATGAGTCCAACTGCGAAGGCATCGGTGGTTGAACGTAACTAGCCTCTTTACGTCTGCCGATTTAATGGGCCAGGTTTAACAAGTGTACAGCAGAATCGAACGTACGAATGCATAGTGCCCTCTACCGTTATGGGAGTGATGTCGCGCGTGCGCCAAAGGTGGTGAAGGTTAGCAAAAGCGCCCCGAGCTTTTGCTAAACCGTTATAAATAACAGGCTATTTAGTAGACAATTAAATATGAAGTGGTACTCGATAGTCAGGATTGTCCAAACTCCTCATCGCTCCTCAATTCTGTGACAGGAAAGATTAGAAATCATTGTGTAGCGTCCTTCTTTCCTGAATGGCGGATGATATGGTTGTCTTTGGGTGTTACCCAGCTGCTATGCAAGACGACAGTAAATGACGAATAGCGAATTAATATCCACTTTATATCTCCAAAGCCTAAGGAACGCTTATATGGGTCAGCCGATAGCACCGGTGCTCGAAGTATCGGGCAACGCTTCGAGATAGTTGCGTCCCGTCTGGCAGTCAAGTAATTGAAGTGGAATTGACGAGCACTGGTAAACTCCGGGAGGCTTATCATAAGTTGAATAAAATGCGCAAAACGCAGTGGTACCACATGACCTATGAAGTATGCCAGGGCGCGAAAACGCACAGCAGCTAATCCATGCGCATCAACATAGTACTGTGCATGTACGATGAGGCCAGTGAGTTAGCAGCGCAGATAGTCACCCGCGGATCCAAGTCAACGAGTACCCACCACCGCGTTGAGCAAATAGACAAACGTTATAAGACGACATGGCGATTGTGACTCGCCACCAACTAACGTCAACCATTGCTTATCCGGACAACCGCTTCAAGTCCACAGACATTAAGCATCCATTTAGCACTGGCAATACCTACAAGCACTACCAAAAGGGCAGGAAAACGTTTACAAATTCCATAAACACAGCAAAACACGCCTACATGCACTTACATACATTCATATACCAATAACATATGTGACAACCCCATTGTACATTAACTGATCACATTTTGTACTCTTAACATGATCATACCTGTGCAGGCGTGCCTCGCTTAGTCGAGAATATACATTTTATTTACTTGTGCCTCTTTGTCATCCAATGGACTACATTGGGTAGCGATTGCAACCAACATCCCTTTCCTATAAAAACAATTCACAGGTTTCACGACTATCCGAATAGTGTAGAGCACCAGTGCCACAGTCTGTAGTCTACTGCGGGAAGTGACAACAGGTGATAATTCGTTCACCCACACACCATGCAGCCTCCACCTGTCACGGTAGGACCCACCCAAATTAACTCAAAGTCCGGTATTCTTTTGTTCTCCGAGCTGAGGAATTGTGGTACAGACGTTTCGTCACCAGCCGAGGTGAAATCCTCAGTGTCTCACTGCTTAGTGTACAGCTCGTTGAGTGCGTCGTCGGCATCGCGGCATTTGTACAACTTCCCACAGTCAAAACATCAACTGTTATGAGGCTTCCAAGATCGGGAGTGCCCTGCTTCGAGCGAGTTTCCACAGAATTCTGCACATATTCCCGCTGCTTTGTGAGCTAGACTGGTGAGTCAAAAATTCGAGAGGATAAGTTCAGACCGAGGATACCGTAAAACCACAGAAATCTGCCGAAACCCTCATTTTTCTTGCTTCTTCCTCTCGCCAATATTTCCTTTAAAAATAAGACACACTGAACCACTGACTTCGCAAACAATTTTGTGGAAACGCTTGAATAACTCCTCAGACTGAGTCCCATTATACACTAGTACCATCAAAGTCCGTGTTCAATCTTAAAGCGGAAAACGTTATCCAGCACTCTGGAGAAGAAAAATGTCACATCTCAGACACGCATACAAGGCAGTGTTGAGGCTTCACCTGCACAGTTAAGGTTCCGCTAAAAACAACTGTATAGTCGTGGGTCTGGTGACGCCGAGCAAACAGAGGAAATAAAGACTCCGGTTCTGCTCTTACAAAAAATGCTAAACATAATCTTAAATGAATATAGGTAGAGAAGCAACAAAACTAGGTATGCGAGTTAGGTAACCCGTGATCAATTGCCAAAATCTCGATAATAAAACCATGCGGTGATAGCACGATTTATGGTTCAGTGCGATACGGTACCACTACAGCATTACCCGCAAAGTTGCATTAAAGGTCCAAAATTTTGCAAAGAAAGTCCAAAATGTTGCAAAACCCTGTGCGATTCGCCAGCCGCTCAGAGCCAATCCTCTGACATTAAGGGTATTTTCCTTGGCCGGATGTCAAGGTTCGGGGCGTTAGTCTGGGGAGGTGAGCGCGCTGCCCGTTGACTGGGTGAGATTTGTGAATGAACCTTAGAGGCATGCACTTCGGCGGTGCAACGGGCTTGTATGCGCCCCCCTCACGTCCGAAACGGTGGATCACAATTGGTCTGAGAGCAATGAACAGCTGGATCATAAGCGCACGATCGAAACCGTGTCTATGATACTAACATCGTCGGCATGCCTTCTCGCGTTCGACAGAGTATCTCATCAGACATTCGTGACCGAGTTTTGGGCGCTTCCATCAACGGTGATGACTGGCAGCTGGTGGCAACTGTGAACAACGTCAAATATCAAACAGTCTACTCCTGGATTTGTCGTTCTCTTAATCAGGAGCC